GGGGGCGGCGGGGCGGCTGCTGGAGCCCCTCTGGGGAGCCCTGGAGCTGCTCGTCTTCTTCGCCGTGGTGAACATCTCCGTGGGGCTCCTGGCGGCCCTCGCCTACTTCCTCACCTACGTGGCCTCCTTCCATCTCGACTACCTGTTCGCTGTGCGCATCCACGGCGGGCTGGGCTTCCTCGGCGGGGTCCTCGTGGCCCTCAAGCAGACGATGGGGGACAGCACCGTGCTGAAGGTGCCTCAGGTCAGGATGAAGGCTGTCCCCATGCTCCTGCTCCTCCTCCTGGCTCTGCTGCGGCTCGCTGCCCTCGTCGAGAGCAATGTACTGGCCTCGTACGGCTTCGGGCTCCTCTCCAGCTGGGTCTATCTCCGCTTCTACCAGCGGCACAGTAGGGGCCGCGGAGACATGTCTGACCACTTCGCCTTCGCCACTTTCTTCCCCGAGATCCTGCAGCCCGTGGTGGGTCTGGTGGCCAACCTGGTGCACGGCGTCCTGGTGAAGGTGCGGGTGTGCCGCAAGACCGTCAAGCGATACGACGTGGGCGCCCCGTCCTCCATCACCATCAGCCTGCCGGGCACGGACCCCCAGGACGCTGAGAGGAGAAGGTACTGCCCGCCCTGCTGCCGTTGGGATCGTGTGTTCAGGGACAGCGAGGGTCGGGTTAAAATCCGAGCAAGGAGGAGGGGGTAGGTTTAGGTGCAGGTTGCTAAGCAGGGACCGTCTGCATGGGGGCTGCCCTGCCACGGAGGTGGTGAGGAGCATTTCCCGGGGCTGGTGGGATGTTATCCTGCTCTTCAAGATGTGGAGCAATGGGGAGATGCTGGGGAAGGGGCAGACAGGGTTGGGGCAGACAGGGTTTGGGGTCCCTGCAGAAGGAAGGGGGACAGCCTGGGGAGGTGCCAGCCCCAGTTCACGGCAGTCTTGCACCCCCCGGCACAGGGGAAGGCAGTGAGTCAGCCCCACGCCCCAGCCCTCCTGCACATCCGGCATTGGCCCTCCTGACTCCTAGCAGGAGGGTTTGGACAAGGCGTTGGCATTCCTTTTTCCCTGCCCTGTTTTATGCCTCTTCCCCATTCCCAGAGCAGCCCGTGTGCTCCCTGACAGCCTCCGAGCGCACCACGTGGTGCAAAAACTCGTGTGTGTAGTCTGGGAGCCTGTGTGAGTGTCTGTGGAGCAGTCCTGTGTGCTCCGGGTCGTCCCCAGTGCTGCTGAATCCACCCTTTCCTGCTGGGAAGGAGCCAGGGCCAGGCTCGCACAGTGCCCCGTGGGGCAGAGCTGTCAGCCCCTGCCCTGCCCCTTGGACCCGGGGTTAACCAGGTGTGCCCTTGCCCCGCAGGCAGCTGGCCCTGAAGGCTCTGAACGAGCGGCTGAAGCGTGTGGAGGACCAGTCGGCCTGGCCCAGCATGGAGGATGAGGAGGAGGAGGCAGCGGCGGCCAAGGCTGACACTCCACTGCTGCCCGACCCCGGCGCGGCCGGCAAGAGCCCCGGCCAGGAGTCCAACCTCATCAGCTTCCAGGATGCCCCGGCCCAGCTGTGACCGGCCCCCTTCCCGCCCTGTCTCCCTTGGAGAGCTGCTAATCCCCCTTGTATCCCGCACGGCTGGGAGCTGGGACTCCTCCCGTGGCACAGGCAGGGGGACACCTCATTCCAGCAACGCTTTGCTGCTGCTCGTGGCCAGCACCAGGCACCTGGGACGGTGACACTGCCGCCACCGCGAGGACAGGGATTGCTGGAGCCGCTCCCCTCGGCGCGGGCCAGGCCGTGGAGTCAGCACAGTCAGTGGGGGCTATCCCGGGACAGGGACACGGGGCTGATCCCCACCCCAATGCTGCTGCGCTCGCCCTTGTGGGATAGAAGTCAGCTTTTCTTCTGTGCCAGGGCTTGGCCAGAGCACTCAACACTTATTTCCTCCCTTCTGAAGGTAGTTTTGTCCTGAACTGAGGGAATGGGAAGGCTAGTGGGTTTCTTTTCCAGATGTCTTTCCCATGGGGAGCCTCCCACCACCCCGGCAGGAGTTTGCTGGGACCAGTGAGAAGCTGGGCAGGGAGGACAGGCCACTGGTCAGGAAGGGGCCACCTAGCCCCTCACAGCAGTGGTCCAGCACTGCCAGCTCCAGGCTTTCTGCAGTGGGGATTCTCTGCTCCTCCCTCTCCTGCCCCCCTCCCCCTGCGAGGAGCCAGTGCCCTTGGCTGCTCCCCGGCTAATCCGTTTGTCAGATTACACTAGAAGCTGGAATTAAATTTTTATGGCGGGGCTCTCGCTGCTTCCTCCAGCAGCAGGTTTTCTTTCCTGCAGGTAGAATATGGGGTCCCCCCTTCTCTTTCCCTCCCTCTGTGTTGGTGGCTTTTTTTTTTTCCTGAATGGAGAGGATGCTCCCTGCGACAGCCTCCTCACAGCTCCTGATCCAGCGGGCAACTCCCAGCCCGGGATGCAGGTCAGCAGTGTCGTGATTATTTTTTTAAAGGACCACACGAGAAGGTTTTGTCAAACAGGAAGAACACGGACATTTGGGTATCAATAAAGATTTCTTTGAAAGAGTTGGCTCCTGCAGCAGAGCACGGGCAGGGCGGGGGGCCCGGCCCAGAGCAGCCCCCGAGGCTCTTGCCAGGAGCCTGGGCAGGGGGTTTCTTCCCAGGTGCTCCCAGCAGGTTGGGAAAGACCCTTTGAAAGGAGGAGGTGGGAAATCTACAGGGGGGATGTGTGCCAGCACCCCAAAAAGTCATGTTCCCCCCCCAAGCAGTAAAGAGGGCTTGTTGCACTGTAGCTGCCTGAAATTTTTATTGAATAAAAGCTCTGGATACAGAGGAATTTTTCAGCCTGGGAGCCACTCCCAGCTCTCCAGCCCTGCCAGGAGCAGGATATGTGCTGAGGAGTTGCAGACAGAGCCTCGCAGCAGCCCCGAGGGTGGGCAGGCTGGGAGAAAGGCTGTTATGCCAGCAAGGAGGTCCCTTCCTGCCCTCCCAAGGGCTCATCCCCCAGGCCTGTGCCTCCCCCCGTGCTCACACTGTTCCCTGTGCCCCTCCAAAGGACAAAATGCTTTTGCTGGCTGCAGGTTCATAGCCTGGCTCAGTCATTTGCTCTGTAAACTGACCCCACCTCAACAAGCCGAGGCTGTGCTGCCCCAGCATGGAGAGGGGTTTGTGCGTGGCAGCGAGTGCCCAGACCCGTGGCCTCGGGGCAGGGCCGGCTGCTCTGGTGCCGGAGAGCCCTCGTGCCATGGGGACACACGTGCTCCTGTACCATTTCCTCGGGTCCACCACCCTGCCCCAGCCCTCCCAGGGCCAAAGCCACAACCGTGCCCTGTGCTTTCCTGGCCAAGCTGCCCCCGTGGCAGGAGAGGCAGCCTGGTGCCCACTGTGGCCTCCCAGGAGAGAGAGGGGACTTCCCTGCCCTCCTCGCTAGGATGACTCCTGTCCTGCCTGCTCGAAAGCAGTCCTTGTGTGGGAATGGGAAAGGAGCAGGAATCCTGAGCGAACCCTCCATTTCCCAGCACTGAGCACCAAGCTGCTGCAGGGACCAGCAGCTTCACCTGTGCTGGGAAATGTCCCCATCGGGGCCGGTGGGGATGTCACACACACATTGTAGCTGACACTAAGGACAATCCAGGACCAACAAGAGACAAGGAAGTAGAAACAAAGTTCCAAGGAGACCCTGTGCAAGCAGGGGGGGCTGTGAGGGGGAGCCCCGGCCTCACCAGCTCACTCAGGGGGTTCAGTTGTGCGCCAGGCCCTCAGTGCTGGCTCCGCTTGCGGTACAGGTACGCGTTGCTCACCTGGTTCATGATCACCAGGCTGGTGAGGAGGGGGCACAGCATGGCCAGGTACCAGGAGGCGCCGGTCACCGCCGTGGTGAACCAGAGCGAGCACATGCCCAGCATGAGGCTAGCACAGCCCAGCAGGTATCCCACCAGCCCGGAGGTGGCGTGGTACAGCTTGAGCTTGGCCAGCGTCCAGTTCTTCATCAGCTTAGGGTAGAGCAGGAGCACGCCCCCGGCGCACTGCCCCCCTGCGTACAGCACGGCCACCAGCCCCGTCAGCCCGTGCCAGGTGACGAAGTGGCCCTTGCCGTTCAGGTGCTTGTTGTAGGTGATGATTCCCAGCCCCAGGAGCGCGCAGAGCAGGGCGAGCAGCTGCAGCACCCAGTGTGCCCGCACCCGCACCTTGCGGGAGAAGGAGCGCAGCAGCGAGGTCTCCGGGGAGAAGATCAGCAGCGCCTCCGTCATCAGGAACGAGAACTGGGAAGGCAGAGGGCAGCAGGGTTGGCAC